GCAGGTGAGGCACTTCCAGCTTTCTCTCTTAGCAGCACTCATTCCAGAAAAAGTGCTATCCGCTACCCCTGAACAGGCTTTTCCAAGATGATACCCATTTTTGCACACCACGCAAGACAACAACCTCCCGTCAGAGGGTAAAGAGCGAGTACACTTAACGCAGTCCATGGCACTAACAGTAACGAGAGGCCGTAGGCGCTCGCAAAAAGGTCAACACTCAACAATAAATACACTGGGCAGTCGGCGGTAAAAAGAGGCAAAGACTCAGGAAAACCTTTGTCTCACCTGTGCAAAATGTAGCGATTAGCACCGGACAAATGTTCGCCGCCGACTGCAAGGGATGCGATGCTGGGACCTCGTTTTATAGCAGAGATGACCTGAAGGGCTGCCGGGTAATTGCACGTGGTCTTCCCCAGCTGACGTCGGGCACAGATGACGATGAGATTCTGCAGGACCCGTGAAGATCCAATACTTGAAGATTGCAGATTTTGCGGTGCAGGCCATGATGATCTTGCGAAACGCTTGACGATGGCCTCGGTGGTTCCTGTGCAAAATGTAGCGATTAGCACCGGACAAATGTTCGCCGCCGACTGCCGCGAACATTTGTCCGGCAGTTATAATAATAATAATAATAATAATAATAATAATAATAATAATAATAATAATAATAATAATAATATAATAATAATAATAATAATAATAATAATAATAATAATAATAATAATAATAATAATAATAATAATAATTTTATTGCATCTCTTTTGCATGATCAATACATGTATGCGGGTCCGTCGAAGCCAAAAACGGCTTGTATGACTGGACCCGGCAGTGGCGTAGAAATGTGGTACATAGAAACATTCAAAAAGTTACATGCAGACTACCATACACGGTGTCTTGGAGCTGAAGTGCAGCTCACGAAACAAATGACTAATGACGTAAGAAATAAAAACCCAACAGAGCGCTTCTCATGAACAAAAAAATGTATAACAGCATAAGAGGAAAAGCAAATGGGCAAACACACATCTCAAACGCAGAACTAAGATTCGAGAGCATAAATTGTTGCGTCGGCATAGATCATATTGACAACAATAAAAGATGAAAAAAGAAACAACAAAAGCATGTTCGAAAGCATGTTGGCAAACTGAATAACTAAATAACCGGAGTAAAAAAGAATCAACCTTAGCTTTCAAAATCCTCAGCCGCACAAAGACAGACAGAGGGAGAGTTAAATTCGCGGAAAACATACCCCGTTTCACCCCAAACTGTACCGGAGGCCGGTGCCACGGGCCGCCAAATCCAACCACAAGCCAGCCCGCAAACACGCCGCAACCGCTCCGCCGATAGTTACATGGCGAAGCAGCCACCACGTGACCCCAGGCCCGCCAGCAGCCGGACCCAGCGGCCCGCAACCCCGGCACCAGCCCAGCCCAGTGCGCGACGAAACACGGCTAAACTCGATCTGAGAGAGCAGAGCATTAACAAACGCTATTTAAAAGCCTTTTCAATTGACGCCTTGAGCTGGCGTGGAAAAACAAGGGAGGCAAACCGTTAAAAAGTTGAGGCACATAGTAAGAGCGCAGTCGCTCTCCGTACCTCGTGCACACACGTGGCACCGCGAAACGCTCGCCCTCCCTTAGGGTACGTTGGGCGACACGAGGAATCTTGTAAGGACTCTGCCAGTAGTGCTTAGAAATCACACATCTTTTGAAAAGCGCATAGAAACTCGGGAGGCATAGGTATGAAAACAACTCGTCACTTGGCACACCTGTAGGGCTGTACGCGACACTTTTCAAAATTCCCCTTAAAATACTATCAATTTTACTCTGCCAAAATAAGGAACAATTGGCATACAGAGTTATCCCATAACGTAGGAGGCCGTAAGCCAAGGCATTTACGATCATTTTTCTGACTGAAATTGGAAGAAAGGTTTTGGTTGAGTATAACATGCACGATATACTTCGGAGCTTTTTAGCTACATATGTAAGGTGAGAGTTCCAAGATAAATCATTGTCAAAATATATTCCGAGGTACTTGGTTGTATTAACATATTCGATAGGAGAACACCTGCAGTGCTCACAATTTGATGGGTGCAATAAAAAGGGAATATCTAGACATTTGCGCTTTAATGGATTAGCGAAGCAGATAAGTTTTGTCTTATGAACGTTAATATTAATTATATTTGCTTCAAACCAATCCATAGCACGAATTGCATCAGCTTGCAGCAAACTAGTTGCACTGTGAAGGTTTATATGTCGTGACACTAGCAGGGTATCATCCGCGTATTGAAATATTTCGCAGCCCGATATAGTTTTAGCGAGGTCATTCACGTAAAGATTAAACAGAAGTGGGGATAACACGGAACCTTGTGGAACACCGGATCTCAAAATTGCCCTTGTGCTCTTTATATCGCAAATCAAAACTTGTTGTGACCTCTGTGTCAAAAAATCCCTGAGAAGGTGAAAAAAAGGCCCTCTGAAACCATAATCGAACACTTTTTTCAAAAGCACCTTGTGACTAATAGAGTCAAAGGCCTTTGAAACGTCTAGAAAAAGAGCGCAAGCATACTTGTTCCCTTCAAAAGTCGCGTGTAGCGTATCGGCAAGATCCTCCAGTAACGAGTCTGTGCCCAGCCCTGGGACAAAGCCATACTGCGACGGGGACAACACGTTAAATTTTGTAAGAAACGAGGTCATGGTGTTCAATATATGTTTTTCAAGCACTAAGGCTAAGCACGGAAGGATAGATATGGGCCTGTAACTTTCTACACTATTTCGTGTGCCCCCCTTATAAAGTGGTCTCACAAGCGCACTTTTGAATAAAGCAGGAATCGCTCCTGAGTTGATAATTCCGTTTAAAATATAAAGAAGAATATTGCTGAGAGATCCAAAATTTCGCCGCAGGTCCCCGACAAAGATATTATCTATTCCGGGGGCCTTGTTTGGTTTAAAACTAAATAAAAACGCGTGCAAGTCAGCGGCAGTCATGCTGGGTAGGAACGCGGACTCAGAGACAGGTGGTTCGAAGTTAGTGGGCGTGGTAAATTCATCGCGTGATGTACCCGAAAACGAAGCGAAGAAGCGATTGAATGAGTCAGCAATTGATTCTATATCGAACCCAAAATTTTTTGTTATTGTGTTATCAATAGACGACTTGTTAGAGCATCCCTTTACCTCGTTCACCACGGACCAGGTTTTCGCAACGTCAAAGCGTGAAAGAAAAAACTTATCTTGAAAGTACTGACGCCTTCTAAAACGAACCATGGCATTCACTCGATTTCTGTAGACTTGGTATTGTAATCTCAGCTCGTCGTTTCGCGGAGCACGACGACACTTTGCCCATAAAATATCTTTTTCTTTAATAGCAGAAAGCACATCCGAGGTTATCCAGGGTTGATTCTGCCTACGCTTTTTCATCCTAATAGTTGTCGTACTAATTGCCCTGAGATGCGAAAGATTATCGACTAACTTTATATAGGTATTCGTGTAATCAAAATCTGTAATTATCGCGTCCCAGTCATAAGCGGTAATCAGTCTATCGAGTTTATTGAAATTTACTACTGTTATTTGCCTTTGCTGATCTGTTACTTGTGACTGGACCTTGAAGCCTATTCGACAGCCAACAAAGTAATGGTCCGCTAATTTTTGCGTAACAGTCACCGATACTGTAGGCATGCCGAAATTTCTTACGTTTATATGATCTATACAGGATATCGTCATTTTCTGGGAAAGGAATTCTTCTCTCGTAGCGGCAAGAATTACGCTTTCGATGCCATAGCTGGAAAGAATATTCAAATAGTCGCACACGACAGCCTTCGAGGGTTTCAAGAGATCGATATTGAAATCACCCGCTAGACAAAGCCTGTCAGTCTCCGGCATATTTCCTAAAATTGCATTAAACTCGTCGAGAAACAAACGAGCACTTTCTGAAGGAGGCCTATAAAATGATAACAAAGATACTGAAACATTAGCATTATACAATTTTAAAGACAGACACTCCGCATATTTAAAGTTAAGTCTAGCCTGGCTGCTGACCAAGCGGTTTTTACGTAGACGGCTATTCCGCCCCCTTTTGCTGCATTACGTGTTAGAAAAAAGGCCTGAAAACCGGGCAGAGAAAATTGCTGTTGCGAAACGCCTTCCTCCACAACGTTAATTTCTGTTAAAACAAATACGTCTACCGTATCTTTCACTGATTCAACGATAATTTGGAATTCTTCCCAATACTTTCTTATACTTCTTATATTTACGTGTAGGAGCGTAAGCGCGCTAGCACTTGGGGGTAGCAGATCTAAAAACGATGGGAAATCTGAAAGTACAACAGTGTCATTCATTCCTAGACTATTTTTTCCAAGTCCCTAGCGCTAGAAACGCGAACAAGTGTAGCGTTCTCATCTTTTTTTGCGAAAATCGTGCCGTTTTTTACCCAGACAAACCTCTACGATTTTTCTTTGCCTCTGGTTCTGGCTCGCCAGAAGAGCTCTTTGTTGGTACTTGTTAAATTGTCGTTGAAATATATTTTTGGTTCACCTTGCGAACGAACGAGTCTGACCAAATTCTTGCGGGCTTTCATCCAGTGTTCTTTGACAGAAACAGACGCAAACTGAACTAGTATTGGCGGCGCCCCGTCGCGTCTAGAACGCAGACGGTGGCAGGCCATTACTTCGGCAGGGCTAGGGATCTCGAGATTCAGTTTGCTGGCTAACCCGTTCAAAGTGACGCTGAGGTCTTCATCAGTCGTAAAAGGCACACCATGAATTTCCAAGTTACATCTCCGGCTGTATTGTTCTGTGGCATTTATGTTGGTTTGGAGATTTTCAATTAATTCGGTCTGACCAGACACTGTTCCCTGTAGTCTCTCAACTTCCGTTCGAAGCAGTTTGACCTCCTTGTCGTTTTCTGTGACAAGTGCTACGATAGATTCGTATTTTTCCATTGATGCTTGAAGGGCACAGATCGTTTCCTTCATCGCATCCATCGATGTCTTCAAAGACAGAAGGTCATCTACTTTTGCTGGAAGGTCGCAAAGACGGTCGACATTTGCCTTCAACGAAAAAAGCAATTCCAGTTTCGCGCTTATATCCGCAAGTTGCGAACAAACCGTGTCGTCATTTGCCGGGGTCCCAGAATCGCAGGAACCACCGACACTTAGCCTACTTTCTCGATTCCTGCAGGTGCGGCAGTTCCATTTTTCACGTTTTGCGTTCCCCATCGATTTAAAGGTTGCCGGAGCAATGCCGGAGCATTTTTCCAAATGATAAACATGATTGTAGGAAACGCATTTCATGAAGCATCCATCAGTAGGAACTGACTTAAAACACACCATGCAATCAGTAGACATGATTTGCTGAATGGAAAAAAAAAAAACAAGACGAAGTTTGAAACGTACAAAAAGAAAAGGAAAACCTTTTGAACAGGCAAAAATCAAACAAGAAAAAAACAAAAAACACTTGGGGCAGTCGACGGCGGGAAAAACGTTCTTAAGATATGACTGCGAAAAACAAACTCTCACCTGCCAAAAATGACAGTATTAGCAGTCTGCAGAAGCAGGCCGCCGACTGCACCGAGGAAAGGCGTGGGAGCTGTTCTTGAAGGGTCGAGTCCGGTTGCCCGGATGACGCTCAACCACGTGGCCCTCGGGTAAACAGTCGATGGACGCTGAGTCAGGCTGCCGAGATCTTCATCAGTTTGGCCCCTTCCACCAGCGGCCGCGAGCGATGATGACGGACTCAGCAAAAAAGCATTCGGGGCCTGCCAAAAATGACAGTATTAGCAGTCTGCAGAAGCAGGCCGCCGACTGCACCGAGGAAAGGCGTGGGAGCTGTTCTTGAAGGGTCGAGTCCGGTTGCCCGGATGACGCTCAACCACGTGGCCCTCGGGTAAACAGTCGATGGACGCTGAGTCAGGCTGCCGAGATCTTCATCAGTTTGGCCCCTTCCACCAGCGGCCGCGAGCGATGATGACGGACTCAGCAAAAAAGCATTCGGGGCCTGCCAAAAATGACAGTATTAGCAGTCTGCAGAAGCAGGCCGCCGACTGCGCCGCCGACCGACCGAATAATAATAATAATAATAATAATAATAATAATAATAATAATAATAATAATAGTTTTATTTCGCATATCTTCAATACAGAATAAAGTAACGGGTCTGTCGAAGCCAGTGGAGGCTTGAGGGACAGAACCCAACAAGTCAAATGACACAAATTGCAAAGAAGTCCTAGGAACACATAGGGAGCAAAAAGCTGACAGTAATTTCAGTCAAATAATCAGTCAAAATAACAGTGGAAAAATTAAAAAAACACGCACACACAACGAGCAGTAATGAACAGAACTCTACAACAGAATTACACTGAGAAATTGTTCAACAATTTTTTCAATTTTCTCTTAGTGGTAGCTTTAAAAAAGGAATCAGGGAGTCTATTAAATATATATGGCACATATTAGGAACGGACTCGTTTACCATATCTCGTATAACATCGGGGGGTTATGAAACGCTCTGAGCTACGCAAATTCCTGCTAGACACAAGGGGATTCTTGAAATCATTACACCAAAAATGAGAGATCACAACAGATTGAAGATGGAGTGACCGAAAGTTCGGCAACTGTAAAGCCTCGAAGATGTCTGCATCTAATGGAAGATCGAAATGATACCCAACGCTTTTTAACAAACTTTTAAGAATTCTGTCAATTTCTGTTTTCCAAGTTTCTACGCAGTTACCAAATAATGTGATTCCATATCTGAGTATGCTATAAGCAAGAGCATATGTAATTGATTTTCTTACGGCAAATGTCATAAATATCTTATTGTTATAAAGTAAGCAGCTGACGGATCGAAGCTTTCCAGATACATACAATAAATGCGTTGTCCATGATAAATCTGAATCAAAAAATATGCCTAAGTACTTTACGGTCTCAACGTATTTTAGGGGGGCACACGTACAATCTTGGCAGTTGGATCTGTGCAATACAAGAGATTCGTCCAAATTCACTTGCTTTAACGGATTCCTGAAGCACACAAGTCTAGTTTTAGATGCGTTAACAGTGATAAAATTCTCAAAGAACCAATCCATTACTCGCGTGGCGTCGTGTTGCAGCGCGCGTACAGCTTGGTGGTAATTGACGTGACTAGAAACAAGTAAGGTATCATCCGCATATTGGTAAATTTTGCAATTAGTAAGCTTGGTTGAGATGTCATTAACAAAAAGATTAAATAACAAAGGTGACAAAATTGACCCTTGTGGCACACCAGCTTTTAACCTGACCCGATCACTTTTAAAGTTTCCCATAGATACAACTTGACTACGATCAAGAAAGAAATTTTGAAGTAAGGAAAAAAATGGTCCACGGAAGCCGTAGTTCTGCAGTTTAAAAAGTAGTACTTTGTGACTAACCGTGTCAAAGGCCTTTGCAACATCCAAAAAAATAGCACATGAATATAAATTTTGTTCAAAAGCCCGATGTAAAAGGTCAGAAAAATTTTCAAGCAGAGGTTGGGTGCCCTTCCCAGTGACAAAACCATATTGGTTTGGAGAGAGCAGGTTTGACTTTTCAATAAAGCCGGACATCACAATATAGAGATGCTTTTCTAAAATTTCGCCAATGCAAGGCAAGATGGAGATTGGGCGATAACATTCTTTTTTTTCCGGAGCTCCTCCTTTAAAAATTGGTTTAACAAGAGCGGTCTTTAAGTCATTGGGAATTACACCAGAATCAAGAATCTCATTAACTATTGTGAGAAGCACTATTGAATATGACTAATGTTGCGGCGGAGGTCAATAATACGAATGCCATCAATACCAGGAGACTTATTGCATTTTAAAGAAAACAAAATTGATCGCAGTGTGTCCATAGTGAGAAGAGGAAGAAACGCAGACTTAGACATACCATTAATAAAACTCGAGTTCAAAGCTGTAAAGTTATCATCTCTTGCAATGCCGGATGAAGTAGCGAAAAGCTTGTTGAAGTCGTTGACAACAGATTGAAGATCGGAACCAAAGTGTTGTTGAAGAAAGTCAAGAAGAGATTTTTTCGTTCCGTGTCCTCTAAAAGAGTTAATCAGCTTCCATGTTTCGCGTGCATTCGATCGGAATTCATAAAACTTTTTCTGAAAGTAGCGTCGTTTAGCAGACCTAATGATCGCATTGGCTTTGTTTCGCGCGCTTCGAAACTGTGTTCTTAGTTCCACGTTTTTTGGGGCATGACGGCAACGTAGCCACGACACATCTTTTTCCTTGATTGCAGTCATGATGTCAGTATTAAACCAAGGCTTATCAGATCGTTGCTTGAATTTGATATTTTTTCTTGAGGTACTATAAAATGATTGAAATATCGCAGCAAAGGCACTGTAAACTTGGTGGGGTTCGACGGTCATTAGAAATTCACTCCAGTCAAAGGCAGAGACCAAAGCATCAAATGTAATTGTATCTATGATTGAGACATACGAAGAATCGTGCCTTGATATCTGCTCTTCACCTACTGGTACATCTAGACGACAGCCTGTGAAGTAATGGTCGGATAGTTTTTGAGTAATTACGGCAGATTTTACTGATATATCAGGGGCCCGAATATTTATGTGATCAATGCAGGAAGTTACTAACCGTCCAGCCAGCAGTTCTTCTCTAGTGGGTAGGGTGATAGTATTTTCAATGCCATATTCTGACAGCAGTGTCAAATAATCGCAGACTATCGATTTATTTGGTTTAAGAGTATCAATGTTTAAATCGCCTACCATGCAAAATTGTCCTTCCGAGCGAAACTTGTCTAGCACGACATCTAGCTCAGTAAGAAAAAGCGAAACGTTTTCTGAAGGAGGCCTGTAGACCGCGAGCAAGAATATGGAGAAGCCAGGCAGAGATATGTGAACAGCTAGTGATTCAGCATGAGCCAAATTTACGTTCTGACTCACCGGTAACCACTTATCTTTAATGTATATTGCAATACCACCGCCTCTACCATGGTCACGGGTGTGAAAGAACTCCCTATAACCATTTAAAATATATTGATTGCTTTGCAAAGATGAAATACCAATTTCAGTTAGAACGAAAACATCTATAGATCCGTTTAAGTTACTTATTAGAGCACGGAACTCGTCCCAGTGGTTACGCAAACTTCTAACATTTACGTGAATAATCGTGAAAGTGTTATCAGAAACAGGTCCCAACAGTTGATTAAATGAATAAAAATTTGGAACCGACAAACAAATGGTCATACTTTAGACCAGTTGCACTAGATCCTTTTGTGTGTTAACGCGAACGACTGGCGAGTCTTCGGCTTTCTTTGCGTAAATCTTAGAGTTCTTTGTCCAAACAAACCGGTATCCATGTTTTTTGCCCTGAGTTCTCGCCAGCCAAAAAAGTTCTTTATTCGCTGGTGTAAGGTTGTCATTGAAGAATAAGTTCGGTTGATCTTCAGACCGGCACCGTTTGCGTAGCCTTCCTCGTGCAGACATCCAAGAGTTCTTTATGGCGACAGAGGTGAAGTTTATCAGAACTGTTGGAACTGAGTCAGGTTTTTTTGTAAGGCGATGAATTGCCAGGATGTCCGAAGGCTGAGGTGTTGGAACATCAAGCTTTTGAGATAGGTCGTTCATGATTTGCACCAGGTCCTCGCCATGAACAAAGGGAAGACCGTGTAGCTCCATATTGCAACGGCGACTGTACTGGTGCGTATCATTGAGCTCTTCTTTCAGTCGCTCAATTGTGTCAGCCTGATGTTCCATTGTTGTCCTGACTGTGTCCACCTCCTGTTGTAAATCCTTCACAGCTTCCTCATTGGTCATTGCCATAGCGAGCACGGAATCGTATTTTAGGCTAAAAGAGTCAACGGTCCTTTGTAATCCTTCGACCGTGCTGCGCAGTTCATCGACGGCTGGTCTTAGAGCCAGCAACTGATCCACTTTAGATGGAAGGGGCAGAAGGGTATCAACACTAGCCTTCAACGAAAGAAGCTGGTTAAGCGTAGCGCTGATCGAAGCCAGCTGACTGGTAACAGAAGCGCAATCTACAAGCTCCTGTCTGCTCACGTCGGCGTTGCCGGAATCCTCTAGTGAGCAGTTACCAGCAGTCCCTGAGACTGTTCGGATCTCGCCTGTACGGATCTCGCCGGTCCGGCAAGTGGGACATTTCCATGTTTCTCGTCTAGCAGCGCCCATTCCCGCAAAAGTCCCATCCGCTACACCGGAGCAGGGTTTACCAAGGTGGTAACCATTCCGACAAGATGCACATGTCAAAAACCTTCCGTCAGCCGGCAGAGCGCGAACACATTTGATACAATTCATTATGTTGAGTACAGTAGCTATGAAACTATATCAGAACTATGACAATTGAAAAGTCGCAATCGACTGTTTATGGCGAAACAGGGCAAAATTGAAAGGAAAGTGAACTCTAATCTCACCTATGTCCTGTGCAGCGCTTAGCACGCGAAAACAATTCGCCACTGTAACTCCACGCTCAGTTCATGTGGCTGTCTCGTGTTGGATTGGAGCGTCGTGTCCCACCCGTGAATCTGTACGACACAGAGATTCAATGGGTGAGAACTGTAGATGTCGTAAGGGCCAATATGACCCTGCCCGGCGTCTTGGAAAAGGTTTCCGTATTTCTCGTCCCCATGTCTTGTCTCTTTAGTCGATCTGAGTACTGGAGCTCATTCAAGAAGAAAGGCGTAGAGCTGGCAGCGTGAAAACAGGTCGGCCGGGTAATGTTTGGAGGCTTGACTGGAAGCCGACAGCCGATCGAGGCGGTGGAGGCCTTGTAAGGAGCAATGAACGTGCCCGGGATCACAGAGGGCTTGACTTGCGTCTCGGATGGCTTGTCCGCCGTTGGTAAGCTTTCTCTGCTCTGTGCTGCAGACCCGTATCACGTGCGGCGCCCTGATGTATTGGGCAGGCTGCCACGAGATACGTCGCTCACCGTGAAAATCGTCGTGCCAGGCAAGCTCGCGCACGACGGGCGTTCCAGAAACCGAGCCAGGCGAAGACGCGAAGGCACTTAGGCCTACCTGGTTCGTAAATAATAATAATAATAATAATAATCAATAAATCAATCAATCAATCAATCAATGTTTATTAAAGTGTCCAGGAACAACCAATCGGTCTTAGTGCTGGCACACTAAAAAGATTAGCAAAACCGCACACATACAAACACGTATACACACGAGTGTATAAGGAGAACGTAGTTCTCCAGTCTGAGAATAAGAATATTAACAAGTATGAAAGACACTCAAATCAACAAGGGAAATCAAAAGCACAAAACAGAGACATCACCAGGTGTGAGAGGAAAAAGCAAATACTACATCAACGCTTCAACTGATCGGCCCTTTTCCTGCAAGAGGAAGGTTCGAACAGCATTTCCGAACCTGCTCCCGCATGAGTTAAAAATATCAATTGTGTCAGAGTAGCGATTATAACACTCCGCCGATCTTTGGATCGGGTTTAAGAGGCTAAAATGTCGAGCTATATAAAAAGATGATTGGAGCCGTGTAGGCACTTGTGGAACTCTGAGGCTCACCTCGGACAGAAGGCTGGGAGAGTTAATCGAGCCGTGCAGAGTCTTAAACAAAAACAACAAATCTGCCTTCACCCGGCGCTGCTGCAGGCTCAACGAGTTGACAAGTTGCGAGTTACACACACCGTTTAGACAAGGATCACCTTTCTCAAAGTAACGATATTTAAAGATAGAAATAAATTTGTTTTGGACTCGCTCGACAGATAAACTGTTAGTTTTGGAAATGCCGTTCCAAACAACCGAGGCGTACTCTAGCTGAAATCTAACTAAAGAACAATACAGTGTAAAAAATGCGAACGGGCTTTTGAACTCCTTCGTTATGCGAGACACGGCACCTAACGTGCGCAAGGCCGATTGAACCACTTTGATAACGTGAGTGTCAAATCTCAGGGTTGAATCAAAGACAACTCCAAGGTCCCTCAGTTCACTTACACGTGACAGCAGTTCGCTATGATAACTATATGGAAAGAATATATCATGGGTCTTGCGAGAATATGTCATTATTTTTGTTTCAGAATGATTCAAACGGAGGTCATTGTCTAAACACCAACGACCGAAGGAATATGCGTCATTCTGAAGTGCAATGCAATTCTCTAAGGTCGATATTTTTTTGTAAAAAAATCATCAGCGTACTGCAGAAATGAAGAATTTAATATAACTCGAGAAACATCATTTACAAAAATATTAAAAAGGAGGGTGCCCAAGACAGATCCCTGAGGCACTCCAGAGCTTGCCTTGTACAAGGACGAGGTAGTATTGTTGACGCGTACGTAGGCTTGCCTATCAGACAAATAGCTTTTTAACAAATTGTATACCGAACCACATACTCCGTACGAGGAAAGCTTGTATAAAAGGATGTTGTGGTTGACTACGTCGAATGCCTTACTCAGGTAGAAATAAAAAACGTCAAGCTGACCTCTATTGCAAACTTTTTCAGAGGCAGCAGACATAAGATACGAGATTGGTGGATGTCGATCTGCCGGACATGAAACCATGTTGATTAGGAATGACTATACTACGAAATTTGAAGGAGAGGAATTGATGGATTACCATTTCAAAGAGTTTGGAAAAAGAAGAGAGAAGAGAAATCGGTCTGTAATTAAGAACATCACCACTATTTCCAGATTTCAGGACCGAAACAACCACTGCCAGTTTCCAGTCGTCAGGGAATATCCCTGACGTCAAGGAGTTATTGAAAATTGTGCACAGTATAGGCGTAAGTAATTCATGATAAGCCTTAACAATTGCAGCGGGTATCCCGTTATGACCTGCAGACAATGTGGGTTTCATTTTCTTAATACATAGCCTAACACATTCCTCATCGACAACCACAGAACCTAATGAGTCACCAAAAGCGTTCGAGTGAGGCAAAATAGTTGAGGAGCAGTTATTATTATTGATGTAAACTGACGCAAAGTGATCCGCAAACAACTCAGACATGCCCTTCGCACTGTCGCTATGCTGATTCAAGATGATTTCGAACTCAATATTCTTCCCCAAGCGCGATTTAGCGTACCTCCAAAATTTCTTGGGATTTTTAACAAGATCTGATTCTACCGAGTCAGAATGCGCCTGGCGATCACGGTTTAAAATTTTCTTACATCGCTTTCTGCAAAGTTTAAATTCAACTTCCCACTTTGGAAGACCACTTTTCTTAAACCTTCTGTGCAAAAAATCTTTCCGTATTAAAAGTGTTCTGAGTTCACGAGAGAACCAGATAGGGAAGCGAGATTTTTTAGACGTTTTAAGAGGGATATATATTTCCATAGCCTCCTGAACAACAGTTGTGAGGAGATATACTTGACCGTTGACATCAGACGACTCCAAGATAGAAGCCCAGTCAACACCCGAAAGATGGTGATACATTCCAGTGTAGTCCCCCGCTGAATACTTATATGATGTGTGTGGGGAAGGACCATTAGAGGGACTGAGAACCGGAGGATCAAAAACAGAAAGAACTACATCAAGAGCAGGGTGATAGCTATCCTCAGGAACCATAGAAAGTTCACTTCGAGCCACCCGTATACTGTCCGTGTTGGAAAAGCATAAATCTAAAGCATTACCTTGGTTGTTTAGAATGTTATTGTGGTGTCTAAGATCTAAAAAGGAAGTAAAGTTGAGGAGATAGTTGCACTTTTGTTTACAATGAAAGTTGCCAGTAAGGACATTGAACTGTGTCCAGGTAATACCTGGAGCGTTAAAATCTCCCAAGATTAAGATATTGCTCCCCTGTGAATCATTAATAGTATTTTCAATGTCAGCGAGACATCTTTGGAAATCATCTGGTGTCGTCTGAGGAGGGAGGTAAAACAGACCCATTAAAATACGTTCTCTGCTAGAACACTCAATTTCCACCCACAGAGACTCGGGAAATCTCTCCAAACCCTCACGTCTTCGTGAACAACAACAACAACAACAACAACAACGACAACGACAACGACAACGACAACGACAACGACAACGACAACGACAACGACAACGACAACAACAACAACAACAACAACAACAACAATCAAGAATCAAGAATCAATCAAGAATAGTTTTTATTTGTGCCCAGGCACAACCTTGCGGTTTTGGTGCTGGCGCACGTAAAAAAAGAACAAAAACACACACACACACAAAAAGAAAAAAGGACAAAAAACAAAAAAACACGGAAGACAGTTTTACATAAAATTCTACAAAAAAGAAGACGCGAGAACTGTGTACACAAAATTGTACAGAAAAACAAAACAAAAAAGTGCACAAAAATTGCACAGAGAAATGAAGACACGAAAAAAATTGTTCCAATACATATGGATGCTTCACTTGGACGCAAACAGACGCGAACGTCTGAACACTACACATACAGCTCCGTACAAATAGAAACAAGAAATCGACAAGTCATAGAAATACATATGGAAACCCGGCAGTTGATTCAGGAAGTTCATCAAAAGTTACAAAAGAGCTTCCGCACAGATTTAACAAAATCGGAAAAGTTGTCAAGAAATATATTGAGATTAAGAGAAGAGTTATTATAAAGGAGTTCCGCACGAGATACTGGATCAAGTGTATTAACTCTAGATGACAGATAGAAGGTTGACGTTTTTCTTGTCGTCACTCGCGGTACGTGCAGTGAAACCTGATGCAGGATGTCGGAGCTAGCTATTTGACCATGTATACATATATAAAGAAAGAGCAGCTCCGCAGTGTTTCGGCGTCCCTGCAAGTCTTGCAGTCGAATGGGTGAACTATGCACGTCATCAACTGCTTTTGCAAAGTTGAAACGGTGTTTAATAATAGATACGAATTTCGCTTGTGCACGAGAAATCCTCAATAGATTAGAGTAGCACGTCCCACCCCACACAACAGATGCATACTCAAGGTGAGAACGACACAGGGAACAATATAAGGTTAAAAATGTTTTAGGGTCACGAAATTCTCGTGATACACGACACACAAGACCCAGGGTGCGCAGCGCAGACTTCACAATATGCATAACGTGACCCTGGAAACGCAAAGCAGAGTCAAATACAACACCAAGATCTCTGATTTCGCCAACGCGGGATAGTTGATTAGTGTTAATTGTGTAGTTAAATGGTACTGTGGCAGTTTTTCTAGAGTAGGTCATGACTTTTGTTTTGGACTGGTTGATCTTCAGGTGATTACGTGAGCACCAGCCAACAAACGAGGTTATATCAGACTGTAAATCCATGCAGTCAGGTTCGCCGCCTATTTCTCTAAATATTTTTATATCGTCTGCATATAGCAAGAAAGAAGACGTGGTGATGGCGCTTGC